AGCAGTCTTCAATAGGTAGGTATGTGAATAGTGACTGAACACCAAAACTGACCATAATTTCATTGTCAGTGAGATGTAGGTCTTTTATCTCACTAACAAAATGGTGTGAATTCTTTGTGTGTGTTCTTGTATGTCTTTTGGGCGGTGACAGTATTTTTGCCTAGTGTTGCACCTAAAAGTAGTATTATTAATTAAAAAAACATACGGTACGTGTTTCAAATTTAGATGTACGCCGATGAAATATTATGCCATCTTTTTGATAACTGGATGTCTTAGCTGACTTGCCACACCATTTCACTGCATAGGAAGCCATTTGTAATGTATTTTGGATACCAAAATAATTTTTAAATTTTCAAAAACTCGGATGTGCCTACGGGTCACAAACTTGGTTGACAATAATATCGTGATTCTTAGCGTCACTTCATATGCTAGCTACAGCAAGTATGTGTTGCGCGCGTTTGTGGCCCTGTATGCGGAATCTATTAGGAGGTAATCTGTGGTCCTACATTACTCGCCAAAGCCTCAAGTCCGCGCGAATCTGTCCCCGCTGCTCGGTAACAAAAACACTTTGTAATAGCTAAAATATAATAGCTACAGCAAAGATAAAAATATTGAAAAATAGCTAGACGTTGATAGATTGATTACTTATTTATTTGAAAAATCGATGTCTTAGTGATGATCTATTATACATAAAATAAGGCCTTGGTTGACAATAATATCGTGATTCTTAGCGTCACTTCATATGCTAGCTACAGCAAGTATGTGTTGCGCGCGTTTGTGGCCCTGTATGCGGAATCTATTAGGAGGTAATCTGTGGTCCTACTACTCGCCGCCTCAAGCCGCGCGAATCTGTCCCCGCTGCTCGGTAACAAAAACCTTTGTAATAGCTAAAATATAATAGCTACAGCAAAGATAAAAATATTGAAAAATAGCTAGACGTTGATAGATTGAACTTATTTATTTGAAAAATCGATAGTGATGATCTATTATACATAAAATAAGGTTTAATGTCAATTCCCGAGTGGAAAATAAAAAACTTTTCATAAATTTGTTTCGTAAGCAGAAAATATAGTAACTTTTACTAACACTAAGAAGAAAAACTAGATTCATTTCCCCTTAATATGATGCTAATATCTTGATATTTGAATATTTCTAAGTAACTACTTAAATCAAAATCAAATTAAAATACATTCTCCTTGCAATTTTGCAGCGGCCTCTTGACAATTGCCGAGTCGTTGTGCGTCGTTCAAATTGAAGTAGATGACCGTCCGTCTAAGGCTTTCTATACATGATAAGGTTGAATGAAATACGAATAAGTGATAAAATATTTAAATGATTTATAATTTTGGCTTAAAACGATAAAATTAAAAAAACTATTCGCTAAATCGTCGTCCCCGAAAAAAAGAAGTATTAAACAAAGTAAATTTTATAGGAGAAACAAAAACTTATACGAAAAAACCTCAAGAACACATTGATATTAATTGTGAATCCTTTGAAATTTTAATATATTTTAACTAAAAAAGTGTATGAGTATGTTTATTAGAAATTTAATAACTATTACTTCACTAAATTTTAATCACGGTTGTAAATCAATCATAAACAAGACGACTAGCGACTGTGAATTACAAAGACGTCATTGTTTTGGTAACAACAATATTTTGAAGTTCAAATTAGAGCCGATTTAGTATAAGTATTATCATAAAGTACAAATTCTAAAGTTCATTTTGATGTACAATAATCTAACAATTAAGTAAAAAAAAATACGAAATACTTACGACATAATCGCTAGTGCTCCTAAACACTTTCGTGACAAGTCGACTAAAGTTGTTATTTTTAATTCTATGCACCCAAACACTAAACACTGCCCTCTTCTGTTATTTCTAGTGAAGTATTTCATAGATAATCATTTTTGTCAAGCACAACGTTCATTTATTTCGGCATTTTTAAACTAGATCGCAATATTTACGTGTCGTTTTGGATAGTATACTATGCCGGACGGACGACGACATATTTTGTTTGGCTACTATACTCTCCACGGACGTGCTAGTGGTTATAAAGTTGTTTGCTTCGTATTGTCATCTACAAGGGACTACTATTATTTATCCCATGCAGGTTCGGGCCTCGGGGAGTTCCCCATTACCCGGGTAATCCTCACAGCCCATTTCTATGGGCCGGTCTTGGTAGCCGTACATTGTACGACATTGTAGGTAATCTTCTTTGGCGTATTGCGCGCCACCAGGTAGGTGCTACCGGAGGGTCAGCCGTCTCGAAGCCCCGCGGAGTCCCGAGGAGAAGGAGTCGACGCAGGGCCAATCTTGTCGACAGGTGTGCGCTCCTGATAGCAGCACTCCGGGCTTCCAATGCTCCTTCCTGGTTCTAGATAAAGGCCTGGTGGATCCCTATGCAGAAGTTGGCGTATCTCGCGCCTCTGGGAAGGGATTTGCCGAAGGGTCAGCAACCTCCAGGTCCCGCGGAGACGCATCTCGACGCGGAGCCGAAGTCACCAACAGGCGCGCGATCCCAGCAGCGCGCCGAGCCTTCGGAGTTCGCTTCCCAGTGTGTAGGTTATACGCAGTGTTGGGTACGTAACGTCCCGGGTGGGGTCAGGGGTGTCCTCGAGGCTCTACGCAAGTCAAGTTGGCCCCACAGCACGTGCACCCACTGAGAAGCGACGCGCTGTACTTCTCCCACCCGGGCGGGAACCGACGACCGACGGACGTGACCGGCTGCTAGCGCGGTCTGGACGCAACTCGATAAAGTTGTTCAAAACGACTATAAATCAACAGCACGCCACAGACTATAAGCTATAAATTTCTAGCGCGCTATTAAATACGCTATGTTATAGCGCGCTATTTATAAGAAAGCGTGTGGAAGGTCGGCAAGCGTAAAGTTTTGCAGCACGCTAAATTTTGTAGCTCGTTACATATCATGTCGTTCGTTGGATTAACCGCGTGCTATTATATAAGAACATTATTTCGTAATAAGTCGGATTTTAGACCTAAATAAAATAAAGCAGTAAAGAAAAACAAATGAACACTCTTTAATATTTTTAAGGCTTACGACTATCTATCATTGATATAAACGTTTTATAAAAATTTTAGCCTTAATGTAAATTATAAATCAATTGAAGCATATTTAAAATTTTATTGATTATATATACAAAAAGCCACTACTTATATACACTTTTGTATCTATATTTTATTTACATTTAAAAAAATATTTTAGGCTACTTTTGTAGCAGACAACATTGTCCTTCAATCGCTTATAAATATACAGTATACACTGACTAAGTAACGTCTAACATTAAAATAGATCGCGCGCGATGAATAGCTTGCTGTTAGAGCAAATTTGCGCCACAACCAGTGCATGTTGCCAGTGATGACTTACGGATCTGAGACGTGGTCCTTCACTGCTGGCCGTATGAGGACGCTCAAGATCGCTCAGCGAGCTATAGAGAGGGCTATGCTCGTAGTTTCTCTGCGTGATAGACCACAAACTAATAAGAGTACTAACGTAGTGGTAGACTCAGAAATGAGCATATCAGTAATAGAACCAGAGTGACAGACATAGCCTAACTGATTATTAAAGGAGGATTAAGCTGAAGTGTCAATGGGCCGACCATATGCTCGAAGAACCGATAACCGATGGGGTAGAAAGGTTCTCGAGTGGCAGCCTCGTACCGGTAGGCGTAGTGTAGGGCGACCCCCCACTAGATGGAGTGACGACCTGGTAAGAGATACAGGAAGTCGATAGATGCAGATAGCTTAGGACCGTGCTTTGTGGCATTACATGGGGTAGTCCTATGTTCAGCAGTGGACTTGTGAAGGGTTGTAATGATGATAATGATGATGATGATGATGCGCTACGTAAAGATAGCGCGCTATAATATGACGCTAAGCGCTATAATAACCACCATTAATATATTATATCTCTATTACATTGTTGGTATGTTCCGAAATACAACGCAGTGTACTGTCCAATTCAAATGACGTCATGAATCGGCGCTATCCTGGTGATTCGTTCCGAAACATTGGACAGTATACGAGGTCATACGTTTGCGCCATTTGGGAAAGTGTTGGCGATTATTAGGTATGTCATTTTGTGCTCCAAAAATCATTATAATCCTAATGGATATACCATCAATTACTCTATAATTTTTTGTATTTGAATAAATAGAAACAAATTCCGGCATGCTTCATTCGGCAAATACACAATTAAAAATTGTTTTATTATGGCCGGATATCCGACACAATATGGCGGCGGCACGCTAGTACAATAAAGTGGGTGCGTTTGGCAGAAAAAAGCGCTAGCAAGCGCTTGTAAGCAAAATGGCGATCGTAAGCGGTAAGCGCTGTCAAATCGTAAGTAGCTATTTTCCTCCAGGACACAATGTTAGTTTTAAGCGGGGAACCTAACCTAATTTAAATATATGTTTGTAAAGTATTCATATTAAAAACTTACCAATCATGAATTTTTAATAACATGTATATGTTTATTCATGTCATTGTATTACTTAAAACTAATATTGCGCAAAACAACTTATAAACAAACAAATTAAATAAGCAAAATGGCGGATTGTGTCAGCGCTACTGAAGTAGCAATCGTGTCCTTGCCGAAAACTATTTCAACGCTTATAAGCGCTTGCTAGCGCTTTTTTCTGCCAAACGCACCCAGTGTCAAATGATGACGTCATTTGAATTGGACAGTACAGTACACAGAACACTTGGTACAGTACACTGCGTTGTATTTCGGAACAACTCTGTATAACCCGCCTAAGGGTATTAGTGTTCTGTGGTATAAACTAGAAAAAAAAGTCAAATGTCAATGTCATTGTCAGTCACAATCACAACACAAGTCACAACTGGTGTTTGTTTCGCTTTCAGACTCAATCGTTATAAAAATTAAAATTATTTGTAATTTTTGGGGCTTGGATGTTTTTTCCTTTTATTTCAATCAATTTTTTATTTATTTATAAAAAAGTGTAGTGACTATCCCATAAAATGTTAGGTGGGGTACGGCTTAAAGTATCTTATACTCACGAGAGGTCTTGTTTTGCTTACATCAGTCCAAAGTACAGTACAAATAATGAACAGGTAAAGATAAAGAACATTAAAAATAATAAATTAGAGTATAATTCAGAATTCTTTGAGTCTTTGTCACATATTTGAGGTTATTATTTTGTTATTATCATGTTGATATATTGTGATTGTCAGCTGTTGAAAAACATGATATTTCTCTAATATACAACGTAGGTATTAACAAATAAAGACTTAAGACGATACATGCAAGAAGATTACACATAATTATCTCAATTATCATTTATTAATTGAAAATTTTAAATGTAATATGATACAATGAAAACAATTTTTAAATCACTATTGTTCATAAAAGATAGCTTGATCTCTGCGACAGCTGTCAGTAAAAATCACGCCTATGAAGTCCTGAATTTCTTAGTAGTACAGACAGTACCTGTCAATGTCATACTTTATGGGCATGCCGACCTAATTAGTGCATGCCCATAAAGTATGACATTGACAGGTACTGTCTACTAAGTACTAAGAAATTGAGGACTTCATAGGCATGAATTTTACTGACAGCTGTCGCAGAGATCAAGCTATCTTTTATGAACTATAAATGTAATGAATTTGGTTATTAATGCCAATAATTTTATTCATTATAGACACAAATTGTACAAGTACTAGTTAAAGAGAAACAGATATTCCTATGGGTGGTATTCAGTAGTAATATACCTGAAGGTTACATAGCATGCAATCCTATTTACTGCAGGCTGATTGCTTTGGAAGAAGGTAGCGAAGTGTTTGTTTCACCATTTAGCAGTATAAAAATTCTGGATGAGCTATATATTGATACTGAGAGTCCTGATGATCAGGAAATACTGGTAAAATGCTCTTTGATATTATTTTATAAAACTTTAAATTACGTTGATTAAAACTACTTTTACGGATTTTATTATGTTTAATTTTACTTTTAATTAAAAGTAAAATTAAATGTGATAAAATCCATAAAAGTAGTTTTAATCAATGTGTAGTGTTCATGTAAATATAAGAAATCATTATTTAAATTATGTATTAAAAAGTAATTTGTAGATATGGCGGTACTTATGTTAAAATTATTACAAAACCATATTTTGCAAACAGATACCTAAATTAATTTTATAATTAATAATATATATAAATGTGAAGCAATATTTGAGAAAATTCATACAATTAGAAAGTAATGATTTTTGTATTGATCATGTTTGTGTATTGTTATAATTTTTATCAAATCTTAAGTATATAATATCAAATGTAAAATTTTGCCAAATTGTCTATTGAAGAATTTAATTTATTACAAACTATGGTAACACTTACTAAATACAACAGGTATTGAAATATCAAACTGTTCACATTTCCAGGAACAAAATGCAGGGGTGTTGCAACTTCGAATTTTAGATCAACTGAGGCTTGTAGTAGCACATCAAAAAGCAATTGTTTGGATATCGACATCAATGCCTATAATTTTTACACCGAAACAAACTGGAATTATTGTAAACCACAGTAGAGTAATTGTTAAAATAGATGCTTTTAATAGTTTCCACAGTAGTATACCATACCAAGTGAATCTCCCCAAAGACACTGGAACTAAGTTTCATAACATAGGCATAATTAACAATGCTTTATTGCAACCGTATATGAATGCACCAAAAAAAATAATTTTAAGAGCATTGCCACTTGATAGTGATGGTAAGAAGAATATAATACATCCATACATTGTTTTTGTACATGAAGATTTAATAGATGCAAAGTATAAAGAATTAACTGTGATATTAGCTACAATGGAAAGCATACCCTCAATAGTAAAGGACAATATTGAAGATGAGAATGATATAAACAACAATCAAATAGATGGTATCTGTGTTGAATTAGTACCCATTGACAATGTTGTATTTAGGAGTCTCTGTCATGAAGTCTACAATATTGATATACCAACAGTACTTGTACCAAAAGCTTTAAATGCTATAGTAAATATAGAAAATGGTACTAAGATATTGTTTAATATAATTGGTGATAAAGTGGAGCATCCGGAACACATAGATATTGTGACATATTCAGAGAAAACTCAGGCTGAAATTGATGTTATAGAGAAATTTAAAAGATGTGTTGTTAATAACACACATTCAGGTAAAAAGTTTCTCATTAACCATAATATGATTAAACAAAATACACAAATAAGCTCTGGGTTCTTGCAATTTAAACTTAAACCAGAAAACATGAAGTATACTATGCTTAACTCAGAGTCATTTCGACAGTGTACTGTAGCTGCTAAGTGCCTATGTGATACTGAATTGATGCTTCCAAAGCCTGTTTTATCCAACCTAGAATATGATTATAAAAATTATTGCAGAAGCATGAAATCTGTTCAGAAATTAGTTGAAAAAGTGGTATTGCATTTACAATTTGAAATACACAGAGAAGCGAGTTTCAAAGGAGTTTCAGAAATTAAAAGCAATGTGCTTATTACTGGTGAGTTATATGTTAATAAATTATAATATTGTTACGAGCTTGAGGTTTGTGACAGTAAAAACTGCCGATTGAATTATCAAAATTGACACGAACACCAATTACAACTTAAAACACACTAATAATAAAACACAATTGCATTACTGATCACTTTAGTTCGCAGTTGTATCGCTTCAAAGTATTTGTTTGATTGCCAATTCAATACTGACTCGGTCGCGGTCCTCACCGGCCTTATATAGGGGCTCTTCTACTGAAACATCTAAAATGTTCGAATACATACCAGTCCGGATTTTCCTAGAAAGCTCTCCTAGTCCTGCTACTCGATACTAGATGGCGCTAGTGGGTACTCACCGTGTACCAGGCAATTATGGCGCGTAACAATATTATCTTATAAATAAAGACATTTATTCATTATCAATTTATTCATCATCAATAGTCTTAAATGCTCGCCAAGTAGATTAGCAACCATAAGATTTTTTTGTTTTTTGAGTATTTATAATTTTACAAGAAGATCCTGTTGCTTATTTCCTGTTAGTTTCCCACTATTGCCTGTTTGACACTCACAGGATGATATGGAATAGAGGATATTCTTACACCATCACTGCATGGTATTAAATAAAGATATTTTTTCCAATTTGTATTTAAATACTAAATTGATTTCAAATTTATAATTAAATAAATATATAATTTTATAAATTTATAATTTAATATATATGTATATATATATTTTTCAGGACTAAGTGGAACTGGAAAAACTTCCTTATGTCACATAGTCCAGAAAGAATTGACAGTATGGTCACACATTTTGCACTGTAGATCGCTGAAGGGTCGCAAAGATATACCCGAGGTTTTTGGCAAAACAATACTAATGTGCCAGGAACATAGTCCCGCTGTTCTCATTTGTGATGATTTGGACTCACTGGTATCACCTAATGTGGAAGGTGCTTCACCTCAAGATATAGCTTACTATCAACGGTGATTTTTATTTTGTTTAATTCTTATTATTCTGAAAACTGGTTGGTACTCTGGTGGAGCCAATATCAATGCAAAATTCAAACAATATTTTAGTCGTAAATTTGAATGAAATTGCTATTTATAATTATAAAGAACATTTTATGCTTTTCCAGACTTGCAGTGGTTATAAAACATTTACTTCAAACATGTTCTGGCGTGTGTGTACTGATGACCTCACTGAGCATGAAATCCCTGCATTCCGTTTTGAGAAAATTTAATGGGAAACCATTGTTTACTGCTCATTTTGACATTCCAGAACTGGAACAGGTGAGAAACCTTTTGAAATACACAAACTGTTTCAATATCTGTCATTTTACAAATGTTTACAAATTATGTTTCTAAAATTAAATTTTTATCTACATTAGGAGGAACGAGTAGAACTATTAAAGCATTTAATAAACGAAAAAGTCCGTGCGTCATTCGAAGTGTCCGATGATGACGTCATAAAAATGGCGATGGACACCGCCGGTTGCAGTGCCAGGGACATTATGGACTACCTCAACAAGATGATTTTCAAGGCTGTGAAAAAGAAGAGTGGGTTTTATTTTTTTCTGTTGCTTTTCCTATACTGCTATAGATTACATGAACAGCATGTAAAAATGCACAACTACACATAGGTCTCTACCATTGTTTTTTTATAGAATAAGGGTGACAAACAAGCACACAGTCCACCTGATGATAAGTGGATGTTGTAGCCCATAAACGTCCACATTTATCCTCGATTCTCCACTCGATTTACCACGTGCTCGGCGGTGAAGGAAAACATCGTGAGGAAACCTGCATGTCTGAGGAATAAGAAAAAAAAATATTTCGAAGACATGTGAAGTTCGTCAACACGCATTTGGGCAGCGCGGCGGACACTTCCTTGCCCTAAACCCTCTCAGAAATGAGGGGAGGCCTGAGCCCAGCAGTGGGACGTATATAGGCTGTAACTTTACTTTTTACTTTACTTTATCCTCAATTAAGAATCAAAATACAGAGGCGTTACCGCCTGAGCACCAAGATGGAATGCCTCATTTTCAGTAAAAAGTGTCTCCGGTTCTGCACATAAAGTAGCATTGAGCTGATATTTTACGCTGGTATTCTGTAAGAGCGTCATCCTTCCTGGATTGATGCGACCGATTCATACTACTACTATAATACGGCATGACGCTACCATGTAAAATATTTTATGTAATTGGATTTAACTGACTGTATTTGCGTTAACTGCCATGTTGGGTAGACGGAATGGCGTCTATGGCATATGTCTGACACTTTTGGAACTGCTTTCAGACACCAATCTTGGGTTTTTTAAAGTCTGGCGATTAGTCGAGTACATGAGAGTAGGGTAATAGAATAAATTCATGTGCTAATTTTGTTCCTTTTGTGCCATTAGAGGGGACTATGGGATATCACAGAAAGATCTCATGACATCCAATAGTTGGTGATATAACAAACTTGTTTAAATAGAGTAAATTTTATTATGCCTCACTTTTATATGTTTTCTTAAATTTATGTAATGCTGTCACAAGCTTTAAATGATTTTTGATGTACATAAGATATAACTATCTATATTTTTAAAATATTGTCTAGTAATTATTTGGTTTATATCTGTTATAGAAGCGCATCCAAAGCCGCGACTAATAGAAGACATAACAAAGGTTGATGACAAAGCAAACGCCTTTGACATATGGGCGCCTGTTGGCGGTATGGAGGAGGTTAAGCAAGTGCTGACTGAGTGTATATTCTGGCCATTAATGGTAAGGATTAGTTTTGGTCTGAATTTATTATACTTATACAAATTTTGCATAAATAGCTTTAATATGGGTAAAATTATGTTAAATTATGGTTAAAATATTGTTAGAGAAGTTTGGGGTATTTGTAATATTAAAAGAATCAAGAATAAATTTAAAAGTAGCAACAATTTCATAAAAAGTTACAGCTTATATAAATCAGTACGACGCAGGCCTTCTCTAATTTCTGAGAGGGTTTTATGGCAAGGATTTTTCCTTTTCTCTTTTTTCTCCGCTCTGCCCTAATGCATGTTGGTAAGCTCACATGTCTTGGAAATATATTTTTTCTTATTTCTCAGACATGTAGGTTTCCTCAATATGTTTTCCTTCACCGCCAAGCATGTGGTAAATCACCGAGCCGTGCCATGTTATGAGCAACCTAGATTCTATCCCCGCCGGCACCAATGCAACAGTTTCATACTTAATTTTATTACCAACAAGCGATCCGCCTTGGCTTCGCACGGGTGATTTTTCTGGATAATGACAGCGCCACCTACTGGGTCCGATTGTGAATCTAAACCATCCAGGGACCTACTTAAACACACAAAAATTTCATCAAAATTTGTGCAGCCGTTCTCAAGTGATGAATCATACATGCGGCAATTGATTTTTATTTATATAGATTGAACTTTAAACATTTCTTTTAACTATAACAAACATTGAATGTCACATATAAGTCATGTTTTTTGAGAAGTTTTGTGAGAGGCGCCAGAGAGAAATTAAAATAGAAGATAGGCAGAACCATAGAATACTATAATACATACATAATACGACGAGGGAGTGGGTGGAGCCCGTATAGCCACTAACATGTCAATTCACACCTATAAATGTCAACACAATTAATCGTTTTCAATTTTCGTGTCAAGCGTCGTTGCTTGAAAATTATTTAAAAATGGCAAATTGTGTAATAACTACATATCGAAAGAACAACGTCGAGCATATTCTATAACCATAAAGTCGAAAGTATTTATATTTTGTAAATATTGGGAACAAAAATAAAGAAATATTTACATGTCAAAAACATTAATCAAAAGTCTAATGTGTAAATTCGCTCAGTCTGCCAATACAGCGAATCAGGTTTGTAATAGTGATAATACGACGTAATTGCTTGTATGTGTGCCCCCGGCGACACCGATCCTCTTACAAAATAAAGTTGACAGCCATTCTATTGTGTATTATAGTATTCTATGGGCAGAACTATCCTTCCTGATAAAAACTCAATAATTATAAAAAAGACTGCCATGCAAAGCAACTATGGCAAATATCCTCCCTTTGAGTATATTTCTTGGGGAGGTTTATGTCCTGCTATTTACTTTTCATGGGCTGAAACGATTAAATGATGAATGAATAACAATTGATAGGTAGATTAAATGGGTGATAAAAGAAAAGTGTGCTTTGCAAGATGATTTTGTGACTAGAGTTAATAAAAGAATGCTTCTATGGCTTGGATATAAAAGCGAGCACACAGACCACCTGGTGGTAAGTAACTGCGACCCATAGACATTTATCTATCTACCTGTACTCAATTAAGAATCCTAATGCAGATGCGTCACCTCTGAGGAATAAGATGGAATGCCTCCTATCCAGTAAAAAGGGTTTCCGGGTTTCTACAATCATGATATGGCAGCATTGAGCTGCTATTTTATGTGGTATTCTGTGAGAGCGTGGACCTACCCCGGTTGAGCTGACCCACTTGTGTTACAACTATAATATATCTGCAGCATGGCTCTACCATATTCCACATATAAATGAGGAAAAAGTAAACATTGAGTTGCTATCAGGAAGATGCTCTTTATATCCTTTTTCAGTTTCCTTACCACCCACGGGAAGATATTGGTGAGGGGATTCCCTTACGCCGTCACTACACTGCTCAATGTCACCATTGAGTCTAGTCTAAATGTATAATTTCTTCCATGCTCAGCAGTGGAATGTTAAGAAATTCTTCTTTTTCTAGTATCCCGCACTGTTTCCGTCACAATCGTGCGGCATTCTGTTGTACGGGCCCCCGGGCACTGGCAAGTCGCACATCGGCTCCTGTCTGGCACGCCTCACTAATATGAACCTGATAACTGTGAAGGGACCCGAACTCCTGTCCAAGTATATCGGGCAGAGTGAAAAGGCCGTAAGGGATATATTTGACAAGTGAGTTTTGTTTTCTTACAAATACAAAATGGCTGTTAATCTTAAATAATGGTCATTAATCTTAAACTGAATTTATAGTTGCGGCACGCTATGATGGCTGTTTTGACATATTACAATAGTGATGTGAAATGTCAATTTATTTTCGAAAAAAAATATAATAAAATCTATAAGTTTTTATTGCAAGTAATATCCGATTAAAAAGGTTTAATAAAACAAAAATATAAATGCTTACTCTGAATATATTTGAACGATCCGAATATTGGAATAAAAATGAATAAAAATATATATATATATATATATATATATATATATATATATATATACAATATGTAACGTAATTAACGCACACCCTCAGACACCCCAATTAGTATATTATGTTATAATCATAATACATACACTGAATTCTTAATTAAACATTCTTATGTACTGATTATTTAGCAAATTAGTTATACTAATTCCTGCAGAATGTTGTGGTCACAATACAAATCCACGAACGCAAAGACTTTAACATGCTTGAAATAAATTTAATTTTTCTTTATTTTTATTGAATGACAGAATTAGTAATAATACAAATAAAACTGCACTCTTAAAAGTCTGTTTTGACTGTACAGATTTAGTGTGACTGTAATTTACCTAGTTTTAATTATTAAAAATGATAGGAATCGATTCAGTAAACGATTCTGAACAAACTATTTTCACAAAGTGCGTCAATAAAAAAAAAAAAAAAAAAAAAAAAAACAACAAAAATATATTACGTGTTATATATATATATAAAAAATACTTTATTTTTATGCACACGAGAAACAAATTAATACAAAAAGAGACCAAAAAAGGTGCCACAAAAGGCTATATTTAATAAAAATTATTTAATTAATTAAATTTATTTAATTACATTTTTTAAAATTTTGAATATGGATAAACAAATACCAAGTTGTGTGGTAAATAAGTACAATAATAATTATATTCTTATAAAAATAAAAAATAAAATGTTCGCGGGACCCTAATATATATAGTTTAGAAATCAATGTAATAAATAAATTTTGTGTCCTAAAATAATATAAATTTTATGAGTAACTGCACGTCACTGTTGACAATAAAGAACAGCAATTTGCTCCTCCAAATGTAATTAAAATTAATACGAAACTTGATGAGTGGACAAACGTCAAAACGGTCATCATAGCGTGCCGGTAGTATGGTTGGTCTAATCAAGTAATAGTAACTGTAAATTCTTTCATCTTTTTTCTATATAAAAACTACTAATAAAATAGACTAAAAAAAAAACTACACACTAATATTTTCTCCTGCATCATGAACTATTTTCGTACATAAATTTGCACAAGGGTAGACCCGAAAAATTTCTTGTAGCCGAACAAATATTTGTTCCGTGTGGGATTCGCGTCCTCCAGCGCCGTAACTTATTGCAAGGTCACTGCGGCCAAGGAGCCGTTGAAATGCTTAATAGACACCCGCAAGATATTTCAGAGGGAAAACAGTGCATTTCCTTTCTAAATGTAAAACTTTTAAACCTTTTCAGTTTCATAAAGATATTGGTTAATTAGCAACTTTCCGCTAACTAAATACAATGATGTGTCTTACCTGGATTGAAGAGCACCTCCCGCCCTCACTAATTCCTCACCACAAGTCCCAGCACCACTACTCCCAACACCACTATTCAAATTGCAAATTAATCAATATCTTTATTATGATGGATTTCCGCAAAGTAACGCCCGATTCTATCAATTATCTTCAGCTTCAGTTCAGTGGAAGGCCAATGTTTTTCTTTTTCTTCAAGTATTATAAGCCAGAGCTTGATTAGTATCCCACCTGGTGATGGTAAGTGATGATGATGTTGTCGACAATTGCAAAGCGCACTGCCTAAGGTTAATAAAAGCCTATTCAATTTTGCCTTGAAGTTTGAACAAATTTACTTAGCGTGTGCCATAAAAAGGTATTACTAGGTACTATATGCCTCAGACGACGCGCCCCGTACTGCCGCATAGATTTTGTTCGTGGCGTTTGTTCTAGTATATATTACATTACTTTAATGGCTCCACCTAATGTATTTCTTTTGTTTTTAGGGCTGAAATGAAACGGCCATGCATTTTGTTCTTCGACGAGTTCGACAGTCTCGCGCCTAAGTAAGTCGCATATTGTAAGTACACGGGTGTCCGTACGTTCCTTTAAAGTTATAGTACTTCTTATAAATGAGTGGAAAGTTAACGTAAAACTTAAGGCTTACTCCCGAAATGGTTTTCGAATAAGATTCGATTTTCGATTCAAACGACGTTTTATCGAAACTGATTTCGAAAAAGCTTACTCCGGAAACAATTTTGACTGAGAAATCTGAAAAACAAGCATTAAGAGCATTGTTAGGCACATCCTAATATTTTATTATATGGAGATCATTTTTAACTATACTAAAGTTAAAAACAGTTGTTCATTAAGTGCGGATAATTTAATAAATTATTAATTACGTCTAGAGGATCTAAATACCTGTTATGATATGCTTTTATAGTCATTTGATGTTCAGACGTTGCTGATTATTGATTTAACATAACTTAAAATGGTCATGGAAAGCTATATTAAATGTTTTGGAACAAATATGCAACCTCAAACGCGCATTGTTATTAACAATGTGCCAACATTTTGAACGGAGGTTAAAAAAGATTGAAGAATATAACAAAAATTGAAGAGTATTAATTTTAACCATTTTGCATTCTTTACTTTTCATTATATATACATCGATACACGACACTGGTGCGTCACTATGCCTGCTGTAAGGTCAGTAAGTGCGACAGAGAGCGCAACAGGCGACCTCCTGTTTCCCCATTTCGTTGCACCGCGGGCAGCGAATGTTTAAAATTAATATAACAACTTCCACGTAATAATACGTTTATCTCGTCTCTCGAGCTACGTCGTGAGTTTGCCGATGCTACGGCTGGCTGCCAGCGCGTGTCTTAGTTCTCTTCACGCACATGGATATGTTACGTAATAACTAATATACTAATGTTACTATTTTATTTATTTATTTATTATTTTTTGTACACCACAATACAGAAACATTAAGTACAGTTAAAACTAAATTAAAGTATGTATAATAGGCGGTCTTATCACTCTGAAAGTGATTTCTTCCAGACAACCTTTGCGTAGAAGAATGATGCAAACTAAAGTTACAAATAAAGGGGGGCATAAAAATAATAATAAAAAAATAATAATACATACAAATAAAGATAAGTGAAAGTTATATATATATATATATATATATATATATATATATATATATATATATATATATAATATCATATAGTAGGTTAAATGAAAAGAGTATGAGAAAGGTAAAGTAATTTATCTAATAGCGTTCTAAATAATACGATTTAACAAGACTTTTGAAAGAGTGAAGAGATTTAACACGACGAATATGGAGAGGTAAGGAGTTCCACAATCGCACAGCGGTTACAGTGAAGGATTTCTTGAAAAAGGAAGAAGAGTGCAAAGGTGTAGGAGAGAAAGATTGACGGAGTATCGAAGGAACCGATTATGGGTAAGAGAAAGATACTGGAAACGGTTTTTTAAATAAAGAGGAGTGAAGGATTAAACAGCACGCTATACAACGCGGAGAGAATGTGAGTATTCCTGCGAAGGCGGATCGGGAGCCATTTGAGCTGTTTGCGAAATTCGGAGATATGATCATATTTGCGAAGCCTAAATATAAATCTAATGCATAAATTTTGAATGTGCTCAAGCTTATTAAGCTGCTCCTCGGTAATGTCTAGATAGCAAATTTCAGCATAGTCAAGGATAGGCAGAAGTAGAGACTGGGCGAGGGAAGAAAATTACGTAATCTACGTAAAGAGCTTAATGCAGCAAACATTTTTCTACTGACCTCATTAACCTGTGAGGTCCAAGAAATACAGGAGTCCAACCCATCCAGCAGAGAGATACAACCCCAGGTTTTTAACCTTGTTACTGTAAGGGATTAGAGTGCAGTCAAGTATAATAGGGGGTAGGGAAGACCAGTCAATTTTACCAATTAATCTAGAACTACCGATGACAATGACCTGAGTTTTCTTAGGATTAATCGTTAAACCATAACATTTACTCCAATTCGAAATACAAGTCAGATTAGCGTTAATAGTGTCAACTGCTTTAGATAGATCTTCAAGAGAGGACTGAGTATAGATTTGGAGATCATCAGCATACAGGTGGTAGGAAGAGGACAAATTATGACTTATAGAGTTAATGAAAATTGCAAAAAGGAGAGGAGACAACACGCCACCTTGTGGTACACCAGCAGCTGTAGTAGTCCAGGTGGAAAAAACCACCAAAAGAACCCAAACCAGTCAACTACAGTTGGAGATATGTTGAGAGAGCGTAGGATGCTTAACAAGATATCAAAATCTACAGTATTAAATACGTTACTAAAATCAAGCAACGTGAGAATGGTAAGCTTTTGTTTCTCCATACCATACCGAATATCATCAGTGATTTGTAAAAGTGCAGTAGTCGTACTATGGCCAGGACGGAAACCGGATTGCAAGGGATTTAAAAGATTGTGTTTTAAAAGATAGGTGCTTAATTGATTGTGCACAAGACGTTCTAGAACTTTGGAAAAGAAAGGCAAAATAGAGATAGGCCTATAATCAGAAAAACTAGAGGGATTTGACTTTTTCGGAAGAGGAACTACAAATGCGTCCTTTCCAAGCTGAAGGGAAAAAAGCAGAATTCATGAATTATTCAGGATAGACGTGATTATAGGTAAAAGGAGATCAATGAGAGGGATGACCATTTTCCGACTAATGCAGTCACTACCAATCGAATTTGAATGGATGGACAGTATGGCTCTCTTAACATCAAAACTGTTAAATTGGCTAAAATTAAAAGCAGAGGTGTCCGGAGTAGGAGCTTTTGAAAGAGAATCCAAAGTATTATGTTTTGCTTTATCGTTAATGCAAGACGAAGATGAGAAATGCGAATTAAGTTGATTGAGATCAAAGTTATGGTGTGTGAGATTTTGTCGTGATTTCCCAACTCCTAAGGACTTAAGAAATTTCCAGACCCTAGCAGGGTTAGGATCTTGTACTGATTCATGGATATGGCATCGTTGTCGTCGTCTACACACATTGTTGCAACGATTTCGTACTAATCTATACTTCTCTCTATTCAAATCGCTAGGAACTGACTTGTATTTAGCTTTGGCACAATTTTTAATGTGGATGATTTTTTTAATATCATCGGTCAGCCAAGGAGAGGGAGGATGCTTTACACGCACTGGACGAACAGGAGCATGAACGTCGTAAAGCTGAATTAACAGAGAGTTGAACAAAGCAACCTGTTCATCAACAGTAGACGCATTGACGACTACACTCCAATCAATCTTTACAGCGTCATTTAAAAGCTGCTCCAAATCCAAGTCACTAAAGTTACGCTGAAGTAGTATCCTTGACTTAGCTTTAGGGGGACGGATTTTGTATGACAAGTATAAAAGGTCGTGATAGGAAAAAGAGTCAGCAGCATGTTGCCCAAATTTAAGAACATGGTCAGGTAAAGACACAAACATTATGTCGAGAAGAGAAGGGGCACAGTAGGAAGAAGTTTTAAATTTGCTGCTTCAATAATAGATTTAAGTTTTATTGATCTAGCGTTGTTTTTTAAAAGACAAGTATTAAAATCACCCATAATAATACTGTGACTAGATAGGTGTAAGATTGTCAAGAATATTTTCTAACGTGGTGAAGTAGTCGACAGTGAGAGAGGGACTGTAAAAGACTCTGAGAAGTCATTTTGTATGACCAAGAAGAACTTCGATAAAGAGAAATTCAGCTTCGCTTCCAGTCTGCGAATCATTTGAAACTTGAATTACTGAAAAAGGTATATGAGAGCGCAGATAAATAGCAACACCACCACCGCCCCGATCGGTACGGTCGTTACGAATCAAATGAAAACCTGGAAGCGAGTAGGATGTTGATGGAAGACATGGTTTTAACCACGACTCCGAAACAAAGTTTATGTATGTTTTTGCTATTGACTTGACAACATGTCGGGGTAACGAGCAGGAATACTTTGAGCATTTATGTGAATAGCGTTAAAGTTTTTGCTAAATTCAGAAAAAGTTGAAGAGCAACAAGGCGAAGGAATAAGTGGAACTCCAAACATCTTTTATTTGTAACATACGTTAGAGTCCATGTTATGGCTGAAATTTACTTATAGCCGATTTATAACCTCAATAAGTACTGCATAGTAGCGAGTTTAGTTACAAGGCAGTTGACAGTAAAATGTTAAGTGGACAGTAGCGTTCAAATATTTTCGTAGCGAGTTTAGTTAAAAAAAGTATAATTTTATATCTTGAGGATTGAACGCTAACACGTTGCGTCCTGTCAACTTATGCACTGAACTAAACTTGCTCGCACCCCCGAGCTTCGAGTTTAGTTGCGGGTGGCGGGAAGGTAACACTTCGAACTTAACTCGCCTAAAAAATAAACTCGCCGGCTATCCCGTTCAACGTAATTGCTAACTTGCTACTTAACTAACTAATTGCCGTTCAAACGAGATTTTTTACTTATTTCGCCGGGTTCGTAAGTTAACTCGCTAATGTACTTGTCGAAGTGTAAATCGGTCATATATAGTCTGTGCCATAAAAAATACTCTGTGCCTCCGAGCACGCGCAACTCACTGCCGCACAGATGTTATCGGGTGCCTGTTCTAATATGACGTTGCGGGCGGTATCGAGGAGCACCGCCTTTTGTATTTGAGTAAGTATTGTTATTATTATTAATCTGTGGAAGCGTTCGTGTTTCAGACGTGGTCATGATTCGACGGGTGTAACGGACCGTGTGGTTAACCAGCTGCTGGCGCGAATGGACGGTGCGGAAGGGGGGGCGCGTGGTCCAGTGCTGGCTGCCACCTCGCGACCAGACCTCGTGGACCCCGCGCTGCTGAGGCCCGGCAGACTGCAGAGGCACGTGTACTGTGGACCACCCGGGCAGGTACAGTTACAATAAAAGAGGGCTAATAATCTTTCATTCACCAGGACCATTATAAAGGACAATGGCGAACTCCCAAACAAATTTTATGTGACTTTATTTTTGCGTCTTCAAATGCAAAATACATAAAAATAGAGTTTAAAATCCTGAACATTTTTTTCTTCGGACATACTACTGCAGAATGTCTGGAGTTAAAGATATTCCTGTTTAAACAAAATAGACTAGGCTGTACATTAATTGGCAAATTGTTACAACAACAACTAGTCAATATAATTTGCATATATGTTAATATAGGGTAATTACTAACATAGAGAGAATCCTTAAAGAACGCATTAGTATATATAGAAGAGTTTTCTGAATTAAATATACGTCAAACTCAGATGTATGGTATAAGACCTTTGTCTGTCTTAACTAACTAATCGTAACAACTACAACAAATAGTCAATCAAGTTTTGAATTGTGTGATGATTTTTTCCAGACTTCAATAGGCCCAATTAGATAACAAAAAGTATATTATTTTATTGATATCTATAATGGTGACTTAAGAAGACGCTTAATAATTCCATCAAATATTATTTCGCCCTTGTCCTTATTGCTTTAAATAAAATTTTATCGGTTTCTAGATTATGAGATAAATAAACAAAATAATACCTCAGTGGTTTGTTCTTTAATATGTTTTACGTTTTTACTCTTTTTTCTTTTGATTTTTTTCCTTTCGGATTGTGTGTAGTTTGGTCTATTCGTTTCTAACCTAATTAAAATAAAATATAACGAATATTACAAAAAGAACCATTAACCATTACATTTTCCTAACATATTAACTTCCCCGACATGTAATTTGTCGAATATTTCACCTTGAGGCAGTGGAAGGAAAATGGAGATCTCCCGCCGGGCAAGGTTTCAGCGGGGCCAGCTTTCCGAGTTGTAGTTCGGAGCTATTTCATATATACTGTTTTTACTTCCGAACTTTGATAGCGCGATTTAGGGTTCGATGTGTTTCGCTTGTGGCGCGACGTCAGCGCCGCCACATCTTCATTCTTAAAAGTGTCGCCGCCCTGGAAGCAAAAAAAGTCGTGGACGTCATCAGCATCTGTCTTTAGCAAAGACTTCTATGTTTACTATACTAGCACTAATACATTGCGCACTGAGCTACGGTGAATTCTCTTCGCCAATACGTTCTTTGTATTGTAAATAGCCAACATCATGCCTTTACAATGTCTATGAGGTATATTCTACTGCAGCGCTAGATATTAACACAACCTCTGTATCTAAAATTAAAAAGACTGTGCTCGACATTGATATCAATAATGACAAATTAAATCTTTTTGCTGTATTATAGTTAAATTGTTGATTTTGTTTAGTTTTATAATATACTATAAGGATCTTTATATTGATAGTACATGCTGTGCTAACCTGTAAATAGTTAGGTATTTACTTAGTATTAGTGATGTATTTGATTAATTTTTGTGTTCATATTTCAAATCAATTTCAATCTCACACAGATTTTGTTTAATGTGACTAAGGACATGTTCCGAAATGTACCCAGTATACTGGCGAATGCAAATGACGTCATTAATTGACGCCATATTGTACTGGCCTGCTGCCACCATATTGTGTCGGACATTCCACCACATTAAAGATATTTTTAATTGCGTTTACGCTGAATGATGCATGCCAGAATTTGTTTTTATTTATTAAAATACAAAAAATTATAGAATTATTGCTGGTATCTCCATTCTTCACAAATTAATTGAAACGGGATATAATAACTTTTGGAGCACAAAATAACATAAAATAATCGCCATCATTTCCAATATAGCGCAAGTGTATGATGTCATATACTGGGCAATGTTTTGAAACAAATCACCAGTATGGCGTCGATTAATGACGTCATTTGCATTGGCCAGTATACTGGGTTCCATTTCGGAACATACCCTAAGAAAACACTGTCAATATTTATGTGCGTATTTTGTTAATATGTATTGAAGTTTATTTCAGATAAGTACCTATGTAACGTTATTAATTATTATGTAACAGTAACTGTCCTAAATCTCTCAGCCGTACGATTTACAGCTGTGACATATTTTTTGTTCTTTATTGCCGGTCTTGTAGTATACATCTTCTACAGTCTTTGGTCTTTCCATCTAATTACAACGTCAATGAGGCTAGAGTGAATAGGCTTTTAGCTAAGTCAGTGCGCTTTGCCATTATCTGCTGCATTAACATTTACCAGCAGGTGGGACAGTAGTCACGGGCTTATAATAGCTAAAAAAAACTCAATTGCTGATCAACATCATAATTACCAGACTGCCTCGTTGGTCTATTGGCTGTAGTAGCGCGACTACTGATCATGAGGTCCTAGGTTTGAATCCCGGATCGGGCCAAAAAATCAATTATTGAGTTTTTTCGTCAAGAAATTCTTAGTAGCTGCCCGGAGTCAGGAAGTTGGCGGTGTCTCACCCCCGTGCCTCGGAAAACTCGTATAGCTCGCTCGATCTCTCTCCGGTCGTGTCGATTTACCGTCCCATCGGTTTATGAGAGTGAGGGAATAGAGAGTGCAGCTGTGCTTGCGCATACACTTGGACACTATAATCCTGTCCTGCGTCCATGGCTAGTTTCCGGTGAGGCTGGCTGCCGTGACCGAATATCGTTCTAGAGGACATTAATTACCAGCCTAAAATAACCCATTTATTATACGCGTTAAGCTCTTTTGCATCCGAGTCCAACCGGCTAATATTGCAATTTGCAATCCAACATTGCAGCATTTTTATTATAGTTTAGTCTTTTAAGCAATTTTTTAGTCATGATTCTAGATAAAAATTTAAATTGGAAAGACCATATTATAAAACTAATAAATAAACTAGACAAATTAGTTTTTGCTTTATACGTTTTTCTTATAAGTAAAAATACAACTGGGAAACAAATGGCGCCTCATGTGCACGAGAATGACTCGTTCGAAAAGTTTGCCCATGGCCTTGAGGAGGCTGATGGGACGGTGACTGGAGGGGAGGTGGTGAGGTTTGCCTGGCTTGGGAATGCCAATGACAGTTGCCTCTTTCCAAGAGGTGGGTAAGTAGCTGAATTCGAAGCAGGCGTTGAAGATTATGGCCAATAAGGCGATCAGCTACTCCGGAAAGTGTTTGAAGGCTTGGTTGGAGATGCCATCCGCACCCGGTGCTTTTTTGGGCTTAAGTCCTTTGATGGTAGATGAAATCTCATCTTTGGACACAGTGATAGGGTCAGAGGCGGTGGGGGGCTAGTGCCGGCGACGGACCTCGTCCTCCACTAGTTGGATATGTATGGGGTCAGTGGGTAGTGAATGGTCACGCAGTTGTATTTTTACTTATATGACACTTATTGTTTTTAGGCAAATACGAAATAAAGTTACATACTTGTCTGTAATAAACTTCAAACCACGTTGACAAAGTGACAATGACAGCGTTTTTTAGTCACATTAGACAAAATTTGCAGTTTACATAATGTTACAAGCTTGGGGTACGTGATAATAAAAGCTGCCGATTGAATTACCAAAATTGACACTTTAATTACTGAACACCAATTACAACTTAAAACACATTAATAAGGAAACATAATTGTACTACTGATCACTTTAGTTTGCAGTTGTATCGCTTCGAAGTATAGCTTGCGCCACGAATGATGTAACTGCGCAGAAGCGTAAAACAGGTGTCAGTAACTAATTAGTAGTAGTAAATAGCAACGGACGACGCGTTATCCCCACGTAGTGTCTCCCTGCGTCCCGTCGCCCGCGCACATACTTGTGTCGTCTTGCGTACTATCGATATCGAAAGTGTTAGCTACTATTATAGTTATACAATATTGAAAAATTTGTAAATAAAGTAAATAATTTTTCAATAAACCTGGCACTTACGACTTAAATATTGATATCGGTATTTAGAATATGAAATACTTTATAAGATTTGTGAAAATTAGCAAGATCTATTGAAAGATGACTGTAATCATGTAAGGACAAAGAGAGGTTTAACTAGTCCCGGAAAAAAACACATGTTTCTTCATAAATTTAAATATATAATATTTTAAATGAAATAAAAAAACAAAAACATCATTAAACACTGTATTTAATAAGCTTTCTAACAGTGTATTACACTTCTTTATACATTAACATCACAAAAAGTTATAAACAATAAAATCACGTTTGTCGTCTTGAGACAAAACAGCAATTACAAATACAAAATATTTTACTTCTTTAACTAAGTGTACATAAAATACAGAATATTATTTAACAGCAATTAAGACCTAACGATGATAAATAAAAATATCGTTCCGTTTTCGTAGAGACTTTGATGTGTAATTATAATGTCGACCTTTGACTTTCTACATATTAAAATGTCATAATACAATTTGCATTTTTCTGCTTGATTGTACATGCGCAGTGGACGCTAAGTAATATCATTCGTGGCGCGACCTATATTCGTTTGAATTGCCAATTCAATACTGACTCGGGTCGCTGTCTATATCGGCCTTATATAGGGCCTCTTATGCTGAAACATCTAGAATATTCGAGTACATACCGGTATCGACTGAATAGATGTAGAAAGTTCTAGCATGGAAATCTGTAGAAGGATCTTGACTCTCCTAGTTCTGCTACTCGATACTAGAGGGCGCTAGTGGCAACTAATGTCGCCATGTATTAGGAATTAATTATGTCGCGCAACAATAACAAGAAACTAGTCTTCTCGCTTGCTCGCATTCGACAAAGGTTTATGGAGAATTGACCGTTACTTAGAGCGCAATGTATTAAGGCCATAGAGCCCGTCTCGTTAGTATACATAGAAGTCTTTGAAGATAATTAATAAATGTATCATTGTCAACAGAGTGATCGATACGAGATACTGAAAACACTAGCTAAGGACGTCGCGATAGACGACGAAGTAGATCTTCAGGAGTTGGCGCAGAGAACGGAAGACTTTTCACCAGCCGATCTCAAGTCCTTGCTGATCACAGCGCAGCTGGGCCGGTTAGAGAAACAACTGGTATGTTCCTTTAAAAAAAAACTATATCATTATTATTAGTGATGAAACGATTATCACTTAGCGATTACGATTATATATACGCTTAGTAATCGACGCTTACGAGGAAGTTAAGGAGTATGATATTTATTACCACAAACCAATTTAAATAAAGTTTGCCGAGGAGTTAATAATCAAATTTAAGGAATTTTGAGTTTTTATTAATAAAAAATAATATTTCTAGTTTTTCAGGAGTCAAGTCTTTTTAAATACGTTCTATTAAATTCGCGTACTTATATCTATCGATGTAACTGAATCTTTTAATGTAATTTTCACAAACTTGTAGACGCCCGATTGGCTTGAACATTTGCACTCGTATCAAAAACGGATGACAATACAATAATTTTATAACTTTGACCTTGTATCCCAATCAGAATCACCACCAAAATAAAATAATTTTATTTTTAGCGTGTTTTTTTGGTTTTTTAAAACTATTATTTAACTACAGTGAATTATATCTATATCCGGAGGTCTCTATATCCGAAATAATAAAAAAATCATGTACATATTTACTTATCATTTATTTAATTATGTTATACACGGGTGTAATTGCAAAAACGTGTTATAGTGCACTGTTTTAAGTTTAGTTTTTTGTGCACACTGTAAGGTGTATTCCATTTTCATAATTCCTTCAACATCTAAATTATTTTGGCCTTCACCAAATAAACAGTACTTTTTGAGCGTTGTCATAGCACATAATGCATCTGTAGTTGTTGGAATCTCATTTGGATTGCAATCTTCTTCCTTTTCTTGTGTTTGAAGAAAAAACAATGGATAAAAAAGCTTAATAGTTTTATGAATTAGTCTTTGTGCCTTTACCGACTCAGTCGCAATATCCGCAAGGGATTTCTAGGAATCGGTCATAAATGGATCATAAAAATAAGTCGCTATATCCGAAATTGACGCTATAACCAAAGTCGCTATTATCGAATGAATTTCTTACGAAAGTATGCTTTAAATTCAAGGGACGTAAGTTTGACGTCGCTATAACCAAAAAGTCGTTACAACCCAGGTCGTTATTAATGAAATCCACTGTATTTCAATTTAATTCAATCCAGTAATGAAAAATAACCTCTACGAACGAACAATGGTTTGATTGAAAGATATTGTTTGCCATGCTTCTATTGGAAAAATATTCTTTGAAAATAAAAGTCATAAAGTAATAATTGCTAGATAATAGCATTAATAATTGACGATTACGATTAATTGTGTAATATTGATACAATTAATCGTAATTAACATTGTTTCATCACTATTTTTTATTAAATTTTAACGTGGTAGAGCTACGCTGCAGCTATATTATGGTTGCAGCATGAGTGGGTGGAACACGCTCTAACAGAATACCAGCGTGAAATAGAAGCTGCTTCATGCTGCTGTATTTTGAGTGCAGGGAACCAGAGAGCCTTTTTATTGGTAATGTTATATAGAATAAGGATGACTGACGAGCACACAGGCCACCTAATGGTAAGTGGATGCTGTGGCCCGTTATGGAGCCCATTAGCTTAATCGAAGATAAAAAGACATCTACATTTATCCTTGATTAAAAATGAAAACGCAGATACGTTGTTACCCGTGAGAACTAAGACGGAATGCCCCGTTTCCAGTAAAAAAGGATCTCCGGTTCTCTACTCTCACCATACGAAACAGCAGTATTAAGCTGCTATTTTACGCCGGTATTCTGTGAGAGCGTGGTCCTTCCCCGGTCGAGCCGACGCAATCATGCTACAACCATAACGTAGCTGCAGCGTGGCTCCATCACGTATGAAACGCCTTCTTTGTTTGAAGTTGGCTGCAGTATATGGACTACATTGGCCACTTACCATCAGGTGGCATAAAAGTTCGGTTGTCACTACAAGTTTATAAAACAATGTTTCAGGTTAAATAGTTTGAGGCAAAAATGATAATTTTTAGCTTTGTATGTTTTTTGCAGGTAAATAACGAAGGAAATCATTTGGAATCTGTAGTCGTTTACAAGGAAGACATCGAGACTGCTTTAAAAGAGACCAAACCGTCGCTTTCAAAGGAGCAAAGACTTTTTTATGATACGATGTGAGTTATATGTTCTTAATTAATTTGTTTTATTAATCGTTTAATTATTGGTAATTAACACCAAGAAATTGAAATAGTTGAATCACTTATTATTCCTAGCAAATGCAATTTAATAGTAATTTATCATTTTTACAAATACATAACTATTTATATATCTACTAAAATCATATAAGATAGACGTTACATAAATGTAAAATGTATAACTAATCAGCTGTATATTTTATACATGAAATCACAATATAACTTTGACCTTAGCTTTATGTCTTAGACCGCACACTTGTTTTAAATTGTTAACAAACATAGTCGTAAATTACTTGGATTGGTTAGTTTGATTTGTTAGGGTTAGACATGAGTTAGTAGTCTATGACCTAATGCTTTCAAAACTATACAATAGGTCCAGTGAGACGTGGCAACTCTTTATACAGTGGCTTAGTAGCTATAAAATGAAATGGGTTCGAATCCCGGTTTGGCAAAAATATTAGTTATTGGTCTCTTCTGTCTAGAAATTCTCAGGAGTTAGGGATTGATGTCCAGCATCAGTTGCCTTTTCTGCGCGGATGTGCATACGACTTACCAAAGTTTCATCGTAATTGTTATGCACGTGGAACAAACAAAGTACTTAACATAATTTTTTACAATCCTTAAATATTTATTTAAAAGATATTTTTTAATTTGTCATCTTATCTATTTTTTAATATTATAGTAAATCTTTTCAAATAGTTTCTGTTCAATAAAAAAAATGGAACTTTATTATAGAGACTGATACTTTATATACTTTTGAGCAGTCGTTTGAAACTCCCTCGCAGGTTAAATTTACAAAAAAATACCTCTGTCCTGAGAAGATCCAGCAAGAAACGCACCGGGACATTTTTTTTAAAGAAAGAACAGTTTACAATCATATAAGTTACATAATAATTGACTATTGAATATTTTACAGCTATAGGAGATTTAGAGGAGAGCCGCTATCGCCTGAGCAGATGTCGATCACGCAACAAATGCAGAAGCAACGCGTCACTTTGGCTTGAATTTAGTCAAGTTTTTACACTACACAAAAACATGTCTCGCTTTAGTTGTTAAAATGCACGTTTTTACGCAAGAAGAATACAACCTACAAAGGCTAATTTTTAGACATTGACGATTTTTATAAATTTGATTAGTATAAAGTGATAATGGCATTCTTTATTCTCTTAATTTGTTAGTTTTTCCAATTGCTAATACCTTTTTTATTGAATAAGGGTCACAAACAAACGTACAGTCCACATGAAGGTAATTGTATATTATGGCCCATAGACATCTGCATCTACAACTATATTTGTCCTTGGTTACGAATCAAAATGCAAATGCGATGATATCCCTGAAATTAGGATGGTGTCCCTCATTTCCACTAAATGGGATTTCCGTTTCCCTACACTCACCACACGAAACACAAGTTAAGCGACTTTTGTTGTTTTTTTTTACTATAAAAATATGAAACCTACAGATACATATAAGTAATATTTATTATTAAACGTACGAAAATCTAATTTTGGTTATTGAAGCTTGGAGTTCTAACTGATGTTCAAGGATAGTGACTCGTTGAAATTTATTTGTTTTTGCTATATGAAAGGAAAGTCCTTGAGATGGTAAATTTCAACTTATTTTGACCCGTGTGTAAGTTGAATACTTTTTGCATAACTACGTTTAATTAGAACAAACCAAAAATAATTGCTTAAGAAAGACAATGACGGCTTAAAGCGACACCGCGAAAAAATGCACATTCTTTCATCGAATGGTATAAGACTATGACACCACTAACGAAAGTGGATTTTTGATATAGGTAAATTCATGTCTTTATCTTGAATTTGATTGTTCAAAAACACGATTGTATAATTTTGACTCGATCATACTTATTTGCGAAAATACCTCTAAAAAATCACTATAGTTGAAACAACGAAACGTTGTTACAACGAAATTCTTAATCTATATGTTTGGGAATTCATTATTTCATCAAATTCATAATTTACTTGCTCATTATTTTGATTACTTAAATCAATAATTTTATAAAAAATATTTTAAGATTCTGACAATTTCTAAGCGGTTTTATTCGTCGCGGGCGCTACGCAATTTTAGACCTTATGACGGCCTCTTTTCAAGTTTTTATAGAAATTATGTATTCACTCAAATCAGTACGACGATAGCCTGGAATCACTTTTTCGAGGTGTCGTCTTAATACACAAATGCTGCTCAATTCTAATGTCTCGTGGTGTCACACTCATTTTGACATAAAGTGATAGAGACAGCATGAGACTTACGGCATCTTAAAATTGAGTAACGTTTGAGTATTTGGGTATTAGTGTCTAGGTTTTAGGTATGTAGAAGCATATTTTGAAGCTATGCCTTACATTTTTAATATTAATAACATATATGCTCTATAAGCATATTTTTGTTGTTTTCAGTGACTTTCGTTTGAGGTCTAGTCACTTCTAGGTTTCAACCTTGCCTTCCTAGCCTCTTCTTAACATGTTGACGCTTTGAGTAATTGCCGTTTTATATTTAATGGAATGGAGGAAAATACTCACGAATTTTTCTGCCACTAGGGCGGCGTTATTTTAGAATGAGGTGTAATATTTGACAGCGGGGAAGTTAATTAGGAAAATTTAAGGATTAATGTTTCTTTCTGTAATTTTATAATATATATAATAGAAAGAGTTAAAATGTGCGAAAAATAAATACGTAAATCTCTGAGGCATTATTTTGTATATATATACAGGGTTATTTTACTTATTTTTCAAGGAATAGCCAAATCTTAAAGTTAAGTTCAAATATATAAATAATGATTATTGCAGTTTTTAAATACGAGTAAATAAGGCATTCACTTTTATTTGAAATTATCCCAAATTGAATGTGAATTATGGGCAACGACGATCGAATGTGTGCGTGCGCAGTATAATCAGTTAAAATAATGCATTGCAGCGCATTTTGAATTTAAAAGATAAAAAGGACAGATTTTTTTGTAATTAATTTTTCTTCACCATTTTGCCTATATTACTTATTCTAAATCTCTGCAAATTTGGCCGGTTATTGCAAAATAACCCTAAAAAGAAACTAATACATTTTTATTTAAAATTAACTTCTTAATTATATGACATTGTAATTATTCCTAAATGGAGACATCTGGTGGGTGGTAGATTATTTAGCCCTCATTGGAGTTCAAATAAAATTTTACTATATTTTTTATATACGAAGGAATGTGTGTAGGAATGCAAAATGTGGTTTGAAAATTAATGGTCTCAGACTTAAAAAATTCACTGTCTGTTTACAAGACACAAGACAATGGCAATGACCCATATGTGGGTCACGGGACACTGAACGTGTTAAACTATGGTTTGAGAAAAGTCTTTCCAACGAAAGAAGTCTTTGCAAAAATTGTCATTTGCACTCAAGTACTTTAAAATTTAGTCCGCATATTTGTGCGGCATATCTTTGTAAAACAAATTCTAGTTTCACCTTGAGACTGATTATAAACTACTTTTTGTAATAAGACCGATTAAAATTCTACAAGTATGAAATATGTAATTGACAATTAATAAAACACCTATTTTAATGAAGGGTAATAAATCAAACACCTATTTTAATGAAGGGTTATAAATCTTACACTAATGTCCCAAGTTGGGAATAAAGACCTATTTACACTTCGACAAGTACAGTAGTGAGTTTAGTTACAGGGCAGTTGACAGTAAACGGTTAAGTGGGCACTAGCGTTCAAATGTCTTCGTGGCGAGTTTAGTTAAGGACATTAGTTCATAGAGTTCGTTGGAGTATAACGTTTCAAGACTACAGAATTTTTCTTATTTTCGTTTAAGATGGTTCTAGGATTACGTCAAGAATTAAATGATATATTCAGAGAAATATTACTGGTTGTTGTTAAAGAAGTTTTTAAGAATTTTCATGAGTGCAGTATTTTATAATTTGAACTTCTACTATTGTATAAACATTCGTGTTCTAAATACTCCTGTACGAATTTATGCGTGATATCTTCCGCCCATTTCATTATTAAAACTCAATCATCAAATTAAAACTCAAACGTATAAATATTCAGTAAACAGTGACGTATAAACTTTGTGGCGAGTTTAATTATAAAAGTACAATTATACGTTTTGGCGCGCAAACATTGCGTCCTGTCAACTTATGCACTGAACTACGCTCGTTCGCTCGTTCACATGAGTAGCGAGTTTAGTTGCGGGTGGCGGCAGACGCGCGGGAGGGCAGCACTTCGTATTTAACTCGCCGAAAAATAGTCCGGCCGGCTATCCCGTTCAACTTAATTGTTAACTTGCTACTTAACTCGCATATTGCCGTTCAAACGAGATTTTTTACTTAACTCGCCAAGTTCGCAAGTTGACTACTTGTCGAAGTGTAAACAGGTCTTTAGGTGAACTTTTTTTATAGGATAGGGTGACAGTAGACGTACAGTCCACCTGATGGTAAGTGGTTGTTGTGGCCCATAGACATCTACATTTATCCTTGATTACGAATCAAAATGCAGATGCGTTGTCACCCGTGAGGACTAACGGCCTGGCCACGGGGAACGGCGGCGCGAACGGCGAAGCGACAGGTGGGGCGAAAATTCGCGCGGCGCGATTTTGGGCCACGGGAAGTCACGTTTGCCGCCGAGAGTGAAATGTCTTTATCAAAGTTATCTCAATATTGCTTAGAAAGTAATTGTTTTTTGATTCAAGACATAATATTTGGAAAAGATTGCGGAGTACATGATTTGAATAGGAATCGGATTTTAAATGGAGAATTCCACAACAAATAGAATGCATCTAGAAAAAAAAATTCGAGTAGATACCAGAATAAGTGTCCTGAAAGAAAAAGAAACCTGCGATTATATTCTTCAGATATTCAACCAGAATTGGAGATAAAAGTCAATGCGGATAGAATTTTAAGTTGTTTTTGTCGGCCCGGCATTTTTCGCGGCGAAAACAACTAAAATATTTTGTTCCCTATACTATTCGCCGCGTCTGCCGCCCGACTCCGTGGCTTGCACCGTACTGATTCATACATTTGTTTCATTCGCCCGCCGCGCCGCCAGTCGCCCGCGCGATTCGCCCGGTAATCACTCCCCACGCGTGGCTTGCTCCATACATTTCTATACATTTGTTTTAGTCGCTAGACGCCACGCCGTTCGCGCCGCGCGAATTTTCGCTACGGCGAATGTCCCGTGGCCAGGCTGTAAGATGAAATGCCTCGTTTCCAGTAAAAAGGGTCTCCAGTTATCTACACTCACCATACGAAACACAGCAGCATTAAGCTACTATTTCACGCTGGTATTCCGTGAGAGCGTGGTCCTTCCCCGGTCGGGCCGAACCATTCGTGTTACAACTATAATACTAATATAACTGCAATATGGCTCTACCACGTATTAGAATATTGAATATTGTTATAATATAGAATATTGTTACGGAAACATAGTGTCATCATCATTGAAAAGTTAGGTTTGTAATAAAAAAAAATAGTTTCTAGTGTACTTTCTTACAATTCTTCTACTTTTATGAATCTTCGTAATTTAGTTGATACATTTCTTTTCTAATCTCATTATTAAAAATTTATATAATATTTTAGACGAAAAACATTGTCTCTACACTTTTGTAGTAAACTAACTTCTTCCACTATGAAATCTGTCAAATATTTTACTTTCCTCCATCCTCCCAAATATTCCTCACTTCTAAGTGGCGGTGCCCTGGTGTCAGAATAATTCGTGGGTGTATCATTGACTAGTGTCGAAATAGGCAATAGCGATATATGAAATTCCATATGTTATAAATATAAGTTTGTTTGTATATTTTGTTGCTATTTTTGTAATGGTTTTAATGTATTATATTGGCAAATAAATTGCGGTTTTATTTATCTTGTTTTATTTTATATGCAACCTAATAAATTAAAAGCAAACAGGGAAACAAATCGGGACATAGGCAGCAGCGTATCCCTAATAACAAAAGGCACCTTTTGGGGCACAACTATGTTCAGCTGTGGACTTTTGATT